TTTTGAAACATGGTAATTCTTGTGTAGCGATGGAACTATATTTTTAAATAAGTAAATTTATAATATTTATGCTCTGTAGATTTTCACTGAGCGCTGTTTTGCAAAAATAAAAATATTAATGAGAACACTGGATTATATATCTTACTGTTCTTTTTTTTTATTATAATATACATAGATACATATATATATATATATATATATATATATATATATATATATATATATATATATATATATATATATGTGTGTGTGTGTGTGAGAGAGAGAGAGAGAGAGACGTGGGCGAGTGGTTAGAATGTTCACCAATGATATCATGGGACCCGGTCTCGTATCTCACCACGGTTGATTTATTAGAAGAGAGACTTCCTGAAGTTATCGGATTGGAACACATATCCATGTTCGGTGACTTTAACGCTCACCATACCATGTGATTAAATGCTCTGTAACTGACCTGGCATTCAAACACTTAACTTTTCAATCACTCAATCCCTCACGTGAGTGGTTGACTTTCATACACCTTTCCTCAGTAACCCGGAAGGTAACGCTTCCCTCTAGATCTCTGTTTTACTTCCATCCCTGACTCTTGTCGCGCTACGCAGCTCTACCCTCTTGGCAACTCTGATCATGCCGTTGTGTCTAAATATCACCTTTCACTCTTGGAGGAGTCCAGCCAAGAACCTCCTACTAACAGAACATCTTTCTGTTATCAACGAGCAGACTGGGACCCGTTCTGTGATTTCCTTCGCAACGTTCCTTGGAATGTGGTTTTTAATTACCCCTGGCTCTCATCCCAGCAAGAAAATATAAAGATAAAGCGCGCTCATCTCCTTGGTTCTCAGCTGCTTGCTCAGCTGCTATTGCCCGTGGAAATCACTTCCTCCGTCTGTACCGAAGCGGCATGTCTGACTGCAACGGCCGTCGCTTTGTCACTGTTCATAATGAGTGCAAGCATGTTCTCAAAGAAGCAAAGTTACTGTGTGCTGATAGAATGAAACAACGTATTGCATCTCACAAGTTTTGTTCTAAAGATTATTGGCGGCTCTGCAAGAATGTGCGGAACAACAGCAATTCCACATTCACGCTTTTATTCAATCAATTCGAACTCCTAACATCCTCAGCAGATTAGGCTGAACGCTTTGCTCAGAAATTGTCATCCAACTCAACAGAGTACCCACACCTGATTTTCCCCCTAGAACTGATGCTCTGTTGAGTGAGATGAGCATAACCCTGTCGTTGGTATTGGACATAATCTCTAAATTAGACTCTCATAAAGAAATGTGCTCCTGAGCTGGCTCCATTTCTCTCCAAACTATATAACTATTGCCTCCCTGATACTTGCTTTCCAGCTTGTTGGAAGTCCTCATCTATTGTCCCTGTGACGTCGTCCTCCCTGGTCGCAGCGTCGACTGTGTCGTTCGATCCCGTTCGCGGCGCCAATTGTGACGTCCCGTGCTCCCCAGGCTCTGATATCCTGGTCACGGACAGCACCAGTTGTGACGTCTTTTGTCGCGGTGTCAGCTGTTCGCTCCTCGCTGCTCCAAACGTGACGTTCTAACCCTTTGGTTAGATTGATACCAGCCTCGTCGTTCCCAACCTGCTTCCAACGCCTGGTTACCAGAGTAACTGCACTAATCTCCGGTCTGCCTACCCACGTTGTGATTTGATCTTAGACAGACGGGATCAAACAGGGATTGGGCCGTATGCAAGCTGAGTCCAACGGGGGGTGATAACACACAAGAAAAATAAAACTCACAAGGTCAAAAAATATTGAAGAAAAGGTAACAACTTTTTATATCTAATTGCTCGTTACACAAGATTATTCCTACCTCCCGACCCGTTCTGTGGACTGTGGCACCACGCTTCTACCAGGCAACTTTAAGGCTTCGAGTTGCCTGCTCTCTTGCATTTCGGGGTGTGGTTTGGTTTCAACACTGGGCGCTGATCTCTGCTTGTCGTTCACGGCTGATCTCTCTCGCCGTCCGCGGCGCAAACTCTCTGCCTGTCGTTCACGGCTTATCTCTCTCGCCATCCGTGGCTGCAACTAAACTCTCTTCAGAGTCTGAATTATTGTTCACTCATCTCCGCCGTCAGTGCGCGAATTAACTTCTTCTCTTCGGCTTCGATTGGACGAACTTCTTCACTTCGGCTTGGGTTGGACGAATTTCTTCACTTCGGCTTGGGTTGGACGAATTTCTCTTCTTAGGCCAAACGGACCGGCCTCTCTTGCCCGCAAAGGGGCGAATGAACCGGGCCCGCAAACTCCCTCGCCGTCCGCGGCGCAACTCTCTGATTTCTGTCGGTTGGGATCCCGCTTTTATTGATGCAGTCAAAAACTGGGGTGGGTCTGTCGGCGCCAGGGTTTTCTTGATAATTCTAAATACATATCCACCCTTCTTATTTCTGATTAGGGATTTTCCATTTTCGGTAACTTACTTTCACTCCTACTCCCTTACTGTGCCTCTGGGGGCGTATACCCGCTTCCCCGCTCCTTCGTATGTCATGTGACCGCTCTCGGCCAATGGGGTCCTTGGTCGGGTGTCTTTCCTCCTCCTTCATGTATCATGTGACCGCCTTCGGCCAATGAGGCTCTGGTCGGTATCTTTCCTCCTGGACAATCCGTGGCTTTGTTCTGGGGGAAGAAACACCTTGCTTAAAGAAACAAAAATTTAAATTGCCCTTTTTGCACGTGACCGAAATGACGCTCTCGGTTTCTTTTACACGCGGTATTTGTCAAACAGTTTATCGCTAATTGGATACGATCTAAGAAAGGGATTTCTCAGACCTGTTGGCGTTTCTCTGAACGCAACAAAAATATTTCATTCTCCTCCGGCCGATAATAAAAATCTGTATTATCTCAAAAAAAGCGACATCACCTTCGGTGGATTTTTCCAACTCTAGAAATTGTCTGGGTTTTCGTATTAATGGTTTGTTTTCATATCCTTAGATACACTTCCCCATCCCTTAGACTTTTACTATCATCTCAATGACACCCTTTTCATTTGTTACTTATCAATATTTTTTCATTGTCCCTAAAATTCGTTTCTCCAACCAATTGATAACAACTTCCATTTTTCATGGATTTCGGTCAGGTACTTTGACCTGGATATCTTCCAACATCTGTTATGTATCAATCGTGCGTGTGTGTGCTCGACTATGACCTGGTTTTCGTATTATATTTTTTTTTTTTTTTCTTCTTCTTCTTCTTTCTTTCTCCCAGATCGCTTGAACGCAATTAAAGAATTATTCTCAAAACCCAAATATTTTTCAGCTCTAAATAATTATCAAATGGTTGACAAACCGCAAAAAATAAATCATATATTTATGAATATTTCCTCTCAGCCTGCCAACTTATGCATGGTGCCACACCCTGTTTATAAGAAATCTGGAGAACTTTCTGGCCCATCTAACTACCGTCCTATCAGTCCCCTACCACTCTTCGGCAAAGTCTTCGAGGTTTTAATCAATGCTGAAGTGTTGAAGCATCTTATATCCCATGATCTACTCTCAAACAATATGGTTTCCGCTTTGCCCGTTCCACCGCTAACGTGCTTATAGCCATAACCGTATTTGTATACCAAGCTCTGGATAATAACGGCAAAGCTCAAGCTATATCTAAGGCATTTGATAGGATTTGGCATTCCGGCCTTCTTCGTAAACTTCAGGGATACCGTTTGATTTAATCCAATCATTTCTGTGAAACCATGAAATGAACGGGCTCCCCACCAGTTTCTTTCATACGAACGCAGGTGTTCCCCAAGGCTCTATCCTGGGCCCTACACTGTTTCTGATCTTCATCAACGATCTTCCTGATGTCATCAGTTCCCAAGTAGGCATCTACGCAGACGACACTACCATTTACTTCTGTCTCAATAGTATATCCGGCATTGTTGACAAAGATAACCAAGCCGTTTGTCTCGAAAAGGGTTTCGAATCTGTGGTTGAGTGGGGCAGAAAATGGCTTGTAATCTCATTTACCTACCATAGATTAACCTCCCTGCCTCATCTCAGAATGGCTGATGCCCAGCTCCATGATAGTGTCTGTCTGCGCCTTCTTGGACTCACCTGAGATGGAACAACTACATTGAATCAATAACTTTATCTACCGCAAGGAAAGTTGGTTCTCTGTGTCGCGCCAGGAGGTTTTTTTCTCGTCTGAGTCCATCCTTCAAATCAACAAATCTGCCATTCATCCTTGCATCGAATACTGTTGCCATATATGGTCTGGTGCCCCCTCCTCTTCATCTCGAGGTTCTCAACAAAATCTAAAAATAGATGTGCAATGTGATAGGTCCTAACCTGGCATCTCGACTACAGTCACTTTCTCACAGACGTGACATGGCTTTTTTACAAATATTTTCATGGCAACTGTTCTGACGACCTACTTTCAGTTGTATCCTAAATACATAAATTTAAGAGAGCTACTAGGTTGGTATCTCGGTCCCACCCTTTCACTGCTGAAACAATTAAATGTAACCGCCTCTTCTACTCCAACAGCTTCTTCTCAAACACTTCCCGTTATTCAAAATTCCTTCCACTTACTTGCTTCTCTTATAGCTATAATCTTCAAATATAATGTCAATCGACATATTCTGATGCCTTGATCTTGATCCCCGTCTTTCCCTTTATCCTCTCCTCAAACACCACTCTTTAATCGTACTCCCACTCTCTGTAACCCCTTGCGTGCTAGTGGCACTCCCGCCTTGCTTGGGGTGAATTGCTTACAAAAATATCAGATTTCATTGATTGATTCATTTTTTAAGTCTTAACAACCCTCTTGATAAGTCAGAAAATATTTTAGATTGAGCGATGGATAACAAATGGGCTGGAGATAATAAATGAATTAATCATACGTTTTAATAATTAACCCATAAATGGGAGGAGAAAATGTAATTTCATCCCTTTCCTAATGGTATTTGCGCATAACCCATCAGGAAATGGTATTCGGCTCTCCGATTAACAATTCATTGTCATTATCCATCACACTACCTGTACATCCAAGTTTACAGCTCCTGGTATTCCCAAGCGGTCACCCATCTAGGTACTAACCAGACTTAACTTTGCTTAACTTCAGTGATCGTACAGGAATCTATAACAGATATGGGCGTACAGATATGTGTATGCGTGTAAAGAACATTGTCACTCACTCTAAATTTCGCGCGCCTAGAAAGTAAAATGCATTACATCAAATAAAATTAAGTATGAATGCAATAAAAACTGAATAAATTATATTAGCATTTTACATAACGTTCGAGATAAATTGATTTTGATAGCTACTCTTTACTTATCCATGTTTCATTAAATAAAATTTTCTATTTATGTCTGCGTTTATGCCAGAATTTTTTCTCGGATGAGAAAAAGAAAAAAGAACACATAAAAAAGTAATACATCAAAACAATGTAAAACCACGTTGATGCTGATTTCTCTATCCACAAACCTTTCCACTCACATTCGTCTATGCCTACGTATGTGCGTGTGAGCATGCAGAGAAAACTACCTCATATTATGTGATTATTAGACACGTTTAAATTGAAACCATTATTGAATTTTCTAAGACTGCTGCAGGCTGTGCTTGGTGAAGTAGCATTACTTTCTCGCAGACACTCGCTGCAATGCATAAGATTTTGACACCCTGCCGATTCGAACGGCTGAATATTTCAGTAAGTAAGCAGCTTCAATTCCCAACTATTTGCGGGTCGAGGGTGATGGAGATCTTGTCAGTTTGATGCGGAGGTGCCGCTTCGAAGCATGACAGATTGTACAGGAGTTTGGCAAGCAGATATGACCTGTTCTTCCTTCGGCGTACACAAGGGGTTCCTGCAATGAAATTATTTTCCGGTATACACACATACATACACAAGCCTTACACGCTATAGTAGACACACCAGCAATGATATAGCTTCGTCACAAACATAGAAGTTAGGTTTCTAGATAAAACAACCGTATTTGCTTTAAAAGAATGACGCTTCATAATCTTCTCAGGTTAAATACTTCACCTTAACACCGCGATAAAAATGATTTCCTTTAAATTTTTTTCTATATATTTTCCTGTAAGTCAGTTCATGGGAACTTTTTTTTCTGCTACCAGTTGGTGTGTGTGTATATTCAAAATCTATTATAGAGAGAACTTCGTATTTTAAATAAACGCCCCATTTTTATTTTTATTTTTATCTTTATCTTTTTAGTGTTTGTTACGGCCTGTATATTCGAGAAATATTAGCGATGAGGCATGTCTTGAAGATTTCTTGAAGATTAATAAATAAAAAAAGGGGCGTTTATTGAAAATGCGAATTGTCCATTATAAAAAAAATGTTTGAAGTAATATAAATGTCGGATTAAAAATAAATTCATTAATACTTTAAAATTATGAATGCATATTTTCAAAGCAGAATTATTATTCCGATTTCAGGAAGTCACTTCATATTTTTCTGCGTCTTACGACCACATATTGTAAGAATACTGAAGTTAAGTCAGTACCTTTATGGGTGACTGCTTGGCAATACCAGATGTCGTAAGCCTGGATGTGCGGGTTGTGTAATGGATGACGGCTGGATGAGCGCATAAATTACTCTAAGTAATTTGTACGTATTATTTATCATCTCTCAGTTGCGTCTCCGTCCTTAGAGAGAGTGCGCTCAGGGGCTTCTCTGTCAAAGGACAGAGGGTCAACTGAGAAAATTATACTGAAGAAGTGCCCAGCCCTGGAGAACAGCTGCCCGAGGCCGCGCCCTCCCATTGCACCAGAGGGAGGGATCGGTGCTCGAACCGAGGCCAGAGCAACCGACGGTTGCGAGGGATGAGGGGAATTTTTGTCCCCGCCCGGGTGTACGCGCTCGGGTCCCCACATTAATCCGACCTTGAGTCACATCTCATTCTCGTGGGGAAATGAGTAAACACCGTAATGGATGACGGCTCGGAAAGAGAAATTGGATAGCCGAGTTCCAATTCCAGTCGGGTTTATTATATTCGTTTACGTGCAAATCGCCTGGAGAAAGGTATGAATCCACTGCCCACCCTTCCTACATATGAGCTTAATAGTAGGGCTTCTATAATAAAAAAAAATATTACAAACTTAAAAAAATCATGCTCTGATTGATAAGCCGTAAAAAAGAAACAAATCAATCAAAATTATTCTGCATATGACATTTCGTCCCTACGAGAAACTTCTTCATATTGATAATTATTGCATGAATGAAGTTTTAAATATACAAGGAGGCCGGATGAAAAGGTAACAAATGATATTTACAATTTTACTTCAAAAACAATAAAGATGCAAAGATGTCCAACTTTATTTGATTTTTTAACGTCTATTTCATCTCAATGTATGAATGCGCGTATAGTGTAAACGTTTATCGGTCACTCGAGCCTTTTTTTCTTAATCAATTCACCCCGAGCAAGGGGATAATGTAACTAAGATACGGGGGGCTACAGTGAATGAAAGAGAATTAAATCACTTTAGGAGGCAGCAACCCAAACCTAAAGAGATAAAGCAGTCGACCGTAGTCGGGATCATCGAGTCAATACGAACGATTCTTTTCTGGGCCGCATATTCTGTGCTTCGCTTTTGAGTTTTCCTTCTACTAAACTGGTTGCTACCCAGGGCTACAGAACCAAGTCTATCCTATTTGACTATACCAACCCAATCCTAAAGGAGCCAGCAATCCAATCCTAAAGGGATAAAGGAAACGAACGTAGTCAGTATCATCAAATCAATGCGAAAAACCTGTCCCTGAGCTGCATAGTATATATGCTTCACCAGTGCTTTATACGCTTTTGAAGTCAGAGTTTTCCTTCTACTCAACCGGTTTCCACACAAGGCTGTCCTACTATTTACCCATAGCAAACAAATCCTAAAGAGCCAGCAACCAATCCTAAAAAGATAAAACAGTCGACAGTATTCGCGATTATCAAATCAATGCGAAAAATCCTTTCCTGAGCTGCATAGTATGTGCTTCGCCAGGGCTATATACGCTTTTGAAATCAGTGTTCCTTCTTCTAAACCAATAGCTTACTGAAGGCTAGAGAATCAACTCTGTCCAATTTACCTATAGTAACCCAATACTAAATAGATAAAAGAGTCGACTGTAGGTGGGATCATCAAGTAAATGGGAACGATCCTTTCCTGAGTTGCACAGTATGTGCTTCGCCAGGGCTTTATACGCTTTGGAAGTCAGAGTTTTCCTTCTCCTAAACCGGTTGCCACCCAAGGCAGTCCTATTATTTACCCATAGCAACACAATCCTAAAGAGATAAGTGAATATACCGTAGTGGGGATCATCAATTCAGTGCGAATGATCTTTTCCTGTGCTCCATTGTATGTGCTTCGCCAGGGCTTTATACGCGTTTGAAGTCAGAGTTTTCTTCTCCTAAACCGGTTGCCACTCAAAGCTATAGAACCAAGCCTGTCCTATTTACCCATGGCTAGGTGGTCGAAGAGTTAGATTCATACCTTCCCCAAGTGTAGTTGTACGTAAATGAATGTAATTAACTCGATTGGTATTCGAACTCGGCTCTCCAATTCCTCAATCCGAGCCGCAAACTGAAAACAAAGGATATACCTCTATTCCTGTTCAAAAGACCGGAGAGTAGTGTGACGACAGACGAACCTATCTGCTCCCAACGTGGTAAGTTTCCAGTTGATTCGATTTCGTTCCTTCTGAGCTTATGCCTTTGGGGAAAAAAAGGCATGAATCTATGTGCCTCCAACTATGAGTTAAATAGCAGTTTCATACTATCATTCACGTGACCCTACTTCTGCTGTGCATTTGTCGCATCTGTAATCCGAGATGTATCCAAATGTATAACTAAGTGAATTTCATTCTCCTTCCTATAAGATTTGTTTTTATTGCTACTTTTTTTTATTTTCCACAGTAATAATTTTAGAGAGAAAGAGGATTTGTTTCATGACATTGGACAAAAGATTCGGAAATTAGCGCCCATGGCAATCTAAACTCACCTTTAATTACATTTCTTTTACTCAAAACTACATTTTATTATGCCGAGAGTATGATCAGACCTTCGTCTTAGTGTCGCCACTGTCTCTTCGTCGAACTCTTGCCGCGGTCTCGTGGCCATTTTCAAGTGTTAGTAATTTTGTCCCCGATGTTTTCGATGTCAGTCTCTTATTATTATTAAAATGTTGATTTCAAAAAAGGCTGGAACTCTGAACTGGGGGTAAGTATTTGTTTAATGACAGTATATTAGACAATTATTACAACGGCAATGGATCAAGGATGAGGTCAAAATCACCTTGCTGGAGTGGGGGGGGCAGAAATCGATCAGATTAATTGGTGATCGACTAATGCACTAGGTGTTTTGTTCTGTGAAAAATCCCTTTTGTTTTCATAATCTTTATTTAAATTTCTAGATCTTTCATCCGTATATTTTTAGCACATTTTATACAGTCTTTTTTTAAAATTCCTGCTTTTGTTTTAATACTGTTAGTTTCTGTATTAAGGAATGTTTTTTATTTTGTTTTTAAAACTGATTGTAACATTATGTTTAGACAAGTTTTCCACCTGTAGTCCTTAATGAGTTGTGGCAGGTAGCATTCGGTACTTAGTTTTATCAAGATTCTGTTACTATGTTGGAACGGAACGCGTTACTTAGTTTATTTTATCCCAATTTGTCATTTGATTACCCACTATTAATCTGATACGTATATTTTATATTATATCATCCAATTCACAGTGGCGCTATTTGTAAAATTGGCCAGGTTCAAATATTCGTTTCGCAACCATTTGTTTGTGGGATTGAGTCTCACTTAACGATATACCAAGGGTAAATCTGGCAAATAAAATTTTTTGTGATAATCAACAATCGTTGATAATAATGAAAAAAATGATAATGATGAAGCTAAGGAAGATATACTGATGACGTTGATGATCATGGTTGGTAAATAGTAGGACAATGAAAATAAGATGAAAACGAGGAAGAAAAGAAAAAGGTGAGTATCAAAAAAAAAAGAGAAGAGAAAGATAAAGACGATAATGAAATCAAAACGGATCTTAAAAAAGATGGCGAACTTGAGAATCGAATAAGAACACAATGCTAACTGCTTTCTATACTGGGTACGATTTGTTACATCA